TATTCCAACTGTTTGGAATGAAGTAATTTTAAAGTCATTTGTGATTGCTTGTTTGTAAATTAAAACAGAAATGTTTGAAGATAAGATATTGTATAATTGCAGGTACGATTGCAGTATTATGTTCTTACATTCAAGAAATATTGAAAAAAATGATAATTGTGAAGCATATAATCTACTGTTAACGAACAAGTAATCAGGGCTTTTTGTATAATACCAGTAATAATAATTTAGTCAGCATGGATACTATTCAAGAGCAAGAATGAGATAGAGTGAGATAGAATGTATAGGATAAAATGAAATAGAAATATGTCACTAGTACTATAAATGGCTGCCAAGTCATGTGATTGCAACAGCGAATCAGAATGCGTAAGGCCGGAATCAGACTACGCATTGAATATTGAGATTGAAGATTGAAAGATTGAAATTTGACTAATCAAAACAATAGAAGCTAAAATTCCTTTGTTCTCACTGGTCAAATTTTAATCTTCAATCTTCAATCTGAATCTTCAATGCGTAGTCTGATTCCGGCCTAACACCGGTTGCGTCTCTCTGATAAATCTAGGACTCTAGATACGCGTATTAATTAGTAACTTTCTATTAAATTATTTTAATTTCAGCAATGTATTTAAAGAATGATGTATTAAATTAGTACAATATGCATCAAAATAATTAATTAAATACACATGTATATGTTTACACGTTTCGCCGCTCTCAAGTTCAGGTTTACCTCTGGTTGAACTGAAAGCGTTTCTTCGCTGGATACTATAGTTTTATGAAAATCGCTTTTTTCAAATTGCTCGAAAAAAACTAGAAAAATTCGGTTTTTTCCAAAAAATTGGTTTTTTCGAAAAATTACTGTTTTTGCTATGTAAGATATAATAAATAATTTATAAATTCCTTTATAAAATTAATGCGATCTATGAAATTATGTAGCGCTTTTTTTATTAAAATTTTTTAGTTATCCTTCTATTTTTATAGTAAAACCTAATCTAACCTTTCTTTAGTAAATGGCAAAGCTTAAGTAGACAGATTTTTAACTCTAGTTTGTCACACTCCGATTTAATGAACTCCTGAAGTGTCTCTTTGTAGTTT